GAGACTGGGCATGGTGGGGCACACCTATAATCTCATCACTTGGGAGGCTGAATACAGTAGGATTACTATGTGTCTGATCCAAGTAGTGAGACCCTGTAGACCCTGTACTAAATACACTTTTTAAAAAAACTAAATTTTAATAAATTTTATAATGAAATATCTACCTCTTAGGGGCTCCTTCCTCTGAACTGGTAGTCAGAACTCTGGCAACTTCAGGTTATGTTTATCATTCATATAACTTTAGTCTGTTCTAAAACTATACATTCCCTTCAAGAACTCTTCTTCATTAAAAAAAAACTTTCATGGTGTGCTTCAGATTGCTATAAAATATAATTTAATGATTGCAGAAGTTTTTGATTCAGTATATCAAAGATTTGCCACTGTAAGCACAACTACAGGTTTTCATTTCTTCTAAAGCACTACTCTAAAAGTCTTGAAATGATTTGCTCTTTCGAAATGCCTTTTGGCTGCCCTCGGTAAGACAAATAGCTTAGAGACACAAACTGAATCTATTTGTCTGAATGACATTTAAAATATTAGTCCTGATTGCAAAAGAATTTTCATCTGATCCACTGACCTCACGGACAAAGTAAGTGTATCTCCAAGAGAAATAAATTTGTCAGTACCTTTTTGCTGAGATCATTGTTATCTCAATTGGAAAAGCTTTATCTGTAAAATAAGTAGGCTTGCTTTTGACGACACATTAAATAGGAAGGGAATATTGAATTTTATAGGATAATGGCCAAATTATCTTGAAACATCTTATGCATCAAGGCAGATTGCTTGTGTTCCTTGGTGCCTGGTCTCTTGGGTTCAAATACCACTCCAGAATTTACACGACATATTCTGAGTTTATTATTATGTAAACTCTTTAGGACCACATTTCCTTAACTTCAAAATAGGAAGGATTAGAGAACCTCTATTATGGTAATGTAGTAAAGATTGTGTTGTGAAATAAACATTAGGTTTACTAAATTCAGTTACATTTGAGCTTCTTTTTATCTCTTCAAAATAAGTGTCAATTATTTTTCTTTAATTTTTTTCAAGAGAAAACAAAGCAAGATTAGTCTATAGATTTTTGCCTTCCCATCATATGGAGAAAAAGAGAAACTCAATTATGTATGACAAGTGTGCAAAAAGGACACATTTTCATGTCCCTTATTGATCTTTGGTTATTCCATAATAATGTTAAAATAGCTACTTTTAATGTGCTTAGCTAATGCTAGCATTGTATCATTCTTGAAATCACATATACTTACTTGCATTCCTAAATAAGAAGAAATGGAAGCAAAAGATGTTGCAATCTGAGAGACTAGAGAGAGGAATGGCAAAATTTCATCTGCAGATAAAAGAAAATTGATCTCGGATCCACACTTGATAAGTCTTCAGATGTCTCCAGAAGTAGAGACTTCTTTTAACTTAGTATAATTTGATCCCAAATTTATAGTGAGTATATTTTTGCTCAGGGTTGCAATTGTGATTAGGAAAATTGTGGGAGAAAAACTAGTTGTTAAATATTTTTGAAATGGAAGCAAAAACGTTAGCAGTGTTTATACCTTTGTAACAAATTGCAAGTAATTTGATTTCTTTTTTAGTTGTTTCTTCACTCATGAAATGTCATATAATTAAAATGTGCTTTTTACTTTTTAAAAGTTACATAAAACTGTCAGTTGTAAAAATCAATGACAGTTAAACAAAAAGCTATTTATTTGTTTATTTATTTATTTTTGTGGAACCTGGGATTGAACTCAGGCCCTTGCGCTTGCCAGGGAAGCACTTATTCCACTGAACCATCTCCCCGGCCCCTCAAAAAGCAATTTACAAAGCATATTTATTGTTTAAAAAAAAACAACAACAACAAAACTTTTGACTAGTAGGATAGCTCAATGCTAGAGCACTTGCCCGGCATGCACAAAGTCCTAGATTCTGTTGCCAGAACCCCAATCAATCAATCAATCAATCAATCATTCATTCTTAAAATACTTCATACTCTTGCATTCCGTTAATTTTATGCTGTGATTACATTGTTAATATTTGTGAGGAAAATAAGTCGTTTACATTTTCAGGTTTCTGGTATCATCTTTTATTTATTTATTTTCATTTTTTAAAGAGAATATAGCGGGTCAGCCTGATAGCTCCAGTGGACTAAAAGCGCCTGTTTAGGTAGAGTGCAGTGCCAGTGGTTTGATCCCCAGACTGCCATGGGGACCCCTCCCACGGGGTGCGCTGAGAGGGCAATTGAGACTGGGCATGGTGGTGTGCGCCCGTAATCCCAGTGCTTTGGGAGGCTGAAAACAGGAGAATCACTGAGTCTGATCTACCCTGTACACCCTGTAGACCCTGTCCTACATACAAGAAAAACAAAAAGAATATAGCATAATAATATAAAAGAGAAAATTAGAAATGATGTAGAATTTTGCTAAACAAAACAATATGAACTCTAACGTGTTTGTTGTATTGCATAGTGTTGTCTTCATTGGTTTGGATAATTGTATTGTGGATTTCTGCTGTTCTATGAAAAGGAGCAGTTAATGCTTAATTTTTGTTTGTTTTCTTCTCTTCTATTTTTTTTCCTTTTGGTCTTGTCTTAACTTCTTATAACTTTCTTCTTTTTCCAATTTTGCATGCAAATATCTGGTAACTTGGTATCGTCTTGAATGCTCTATCTGGAGTTTATTTTTCCTATTTTAGTATATTCCAATTTTAAACCCTGCATATTTTTGCCTGAGTTTTTACAAGTATAATTCATTTTAAGAAGTATAATTCATTGTGAATATCACCTCTAGTAAATGAAAGACTATTTCTCATTAACACATCCCAATTCATCTTATGATCACAGAGTACTTAAAAATGCTACAGGACTAAATAAATAAAATTTAGGACTATGAAACATAAAGCTTTAGTGCTTGAAGCCTTACTTTGTGTGAGAGTTGGGGTGTTATGTAAGTGCAGTGCCCTTAGAAGACATCTGAGTTTGAAATCTCTGATGTTGTCTGATTCCCTCAGTTTGCCCATTTGGGTAATGATCTAATTCTTTTCCCAACACTTTTATTCTACTTTGGATTTTAAGTGCTCATTCATGCTGGAGATTAAATAAAATCAATGGCCTCTAGAAGGTTTAAGTAAATATGCCTCTAAGAAAAACGTTGACTCAGTTAAAACATGTAAATTGGGAGTCAAGAACTAGGATTATAGCTCAGTGACAGTGCTTGCCTCATTTTTGCAAAGCCCTGAGTCCAATGTCAAGCATTCAATGATAATTAAAATTAAGTAAAAAGAAAAAAATGAGGTTAATGTCAATAGTATTGAGATTAACATTGCTCCTTTTTTTTCCATTTATGTATTTGGTACAAGTCTCACTACACAGCTGGGACTCATAGTGATCCTCCTGTTTTCAGCCTTTGCAGTGCTGGGAATACAGGTGTGTGCCACCATGCCTGGACTTGGGCACTGGCTTAGTGCAACCCAGGGGCAAGGCCAGCACAGCATGCAGGACTGGGGATCGAATCCTGGTCCTTGCATTTAATCCTGAGTTATCTTGCTGGTCCTAACATTTGTCCTTGTACCAAGGTGTAGAACCAATTAGTTATTTTGAGGCATTTATTTGAATATATTATTTAAAAATTAATCTTAATCACTACCATTTATTTTTTGTTTGCCACAAAATTAGTTTGATGCATTATATGTTATCACATTCAGTGCTCAGATAGCCTTTGAAGTAGATTTGTATCATCCCATTTTACAAGTGAGAGAACTAAGGCTTAAAGGAATAGCTTGCGCAAATCTCATACCTAGTAATTGGGTTGAATATCCCCTTTTTAAATATTTCCCCAACAAATGTTAAAGACTTGAACCCTTAGACCACTTTACATTTAGGATAAAAGTCCAGGTTTGGAAGTATTCCAGTAATAGTTTCTATACTACCATGAGGTTCATCCTAGGAACAATAAGTAATTTTGAACTTTAGTGAAAATTAGTGTACTAAACTTTGCAGGTAGAGAGGGAGTTAGGGAAGAATGTTTGGTGAAAGGGGACCCCAAAAAGAACCATGAAAAAAGAAAGTGTCTATCTGTGGAGTGTGGATGTTGGACACTTACACCCCCCTAATCATGTGAACACTTAATGGTGATGGGAATTGTGTGATGAGAACCTCAAAGTTGGATATGGAGAGACACTGACTTAAAATATTGTAAGGTAAATTATCTGGTGTCCTCTAATGAAGGGGAAGCCTTCATTTCTTCTTTTCACTCTAAAAATGGCCTAGCTAGGAGCCGTGGAGATGGCTCAGTGGAATAAGCGCTTCCCTGACAAGTGCAAGGGCCTGATTTCAATCCCCGGTTCCACAAAAAAAAAAAAAAAAAGGCCTAGCTGAAAATGTGCATTTCTCCAAGTCTTAAAAAAGAGTTTTGGATTTTGATTATTTTAAGGAAGAGCCAGAGTAGTATATTAATATACAGATAATTCCCAACTAATAATAGTTTGACTAAGACTGTACTATACTGTGCTGCAACTGTAATGTTCAGTACATTAGATTTATCAAATGTATTTTCAATTTAATGACACTTTAGATTTAAAATGGTAAGGCTGGCCAAAGAGCTCAGCAGTTTGATCCCTGGGCCTGCTGGGCACGCTGAGGTGGCAATTGAGACTGGGTGTGGTGGTTCACACCTGTAATCTCAGCACTTGGGGGGCTGTGAACAGAAGAATCAGTATGAGTGCAATCTAGTAGTGAGACTCTAAACCCCCTGTAGACCCTTCCCTAAAATACTAAATAAATAAATAAATAAAATGGTTTCATTAGAACAGAATTCCATCTAAGTCAAGAAGTTCTGTGTTTATAATTTCTTGTCATAGAAAAAGAGACTGGAAGACATTTGAACAAACACATCCAGTTTCAGTGTTTTGTTCATTATGTTTATTGAATCCACAGAGTTGTTCAGCTGATGTTTGTCGTCTTTTGATCACACTGATTTTTGATAAATTTTGCTTTGTCTTTGCAGAAGGAGTTTTGGAACACCTACACAAAAGCACACCAAGGAGAGAATAACAGAGGAAGTGACTGGTTTCAATTTTACCTTACCTTTCCACTAATCTTTGGCCTCTTCATTATCCTTCTTGTCATTTTCTTAATCTGGAGATGCTTCCTAAGAAACAAAACTCGCAGACAGACAGTGACCGAAAGCCACATTCCTTTCCCTCAGCACCTTAATATTATCACTCCGCCTCCTGCACCAGATGAAGTGTTTGATAGCAGTGGATTGTCTCCAGGCTTTCTGGAATATGTAGTTGGGCGTTCAGATTCTGTGTCCACTCGCCTGTCCAACTGTGATCCACCACCGACCTATGAGGAAGCCACTGGTCAGGTGAACCTGAGAAGGAATGAAACAGAACCTCATTTAGATCCACCGCCAGAATATGAAGACATAATCAATTCCAGCTCAGCCAGTGCCATTCCTATGGTGCCTGTGGTCACCTCCAACAAATGAAGCTACAAACTTCTTTTTATTCTAATCATTTTTGAAATACTAATTAAAGAACTTTCTAGCACTTTACCACTACATAAATGTACATCGACTTATTTTATTATACTCTTATAACATGCCACTTCACCCTTACTGGTCTGATGTTCTTTAGTTTTGTTCCCCATTATGAAATCATTATATGTGCTCATTTTTGCTAGGGAAAACAGCAGTGGGGATATTCATGTGGTGATATATACATCTACACACTATTATGTGCAACTGTCCTAAAAAAAATCTATTAATGTTTATCTAATTCACTTGCAAGAAGAGCATTACTCACAAAAATTGGGAATAAAAAGGCATTGACAATGTATGTAATAGCTAGAAAGCAACATGTTATAGAACTTTGCAAAAAGGATGTACTTAGCATGTTTTCTAATTTTTATGAGCTATTGTTAACCTCTGGTCTCTTCATCTACCTTAAAGAGAAAAAAATGTGAGGAGTCACTCTTGACTTTAGAAATAGAAAGTATATATTCACAGTGAAGAATAAATTATTGTGTGTAGCAAGGAAATCACTGGACATGTGTGATGGATGCTTCACTTTATACTAGGAATTTTATTCCTCATTGACTACCCCCCATGAAACACTTTGGTTAGCTTAGCATCTTTCAGTGTCTCATGCTATTCCTATAAATAGCTCATGGGGAAGATTTCTGGCAATAGAATAATTTCTAAGTGGATGGATGTGTTTAATAATAAGCAGTAGATATATATTATTCCTTTGCTTTGGGGGGCAATAAGTATTTACTTCTTACTATTTCATTGCCTTTTAGTCTACTGTTTATACTCTCTCCTACCACCACAGAATCTTCAATGGCCCAAGATTTTAGTTAGAAATAAAACTCAGTATTGTTTTCTCAAAATCTTTGCCTGAGGATATCTTAGGAGACAATTTTCCATTACATTATGAGCTGTGATTTTTTTATTACTTTCCAATTGGTAAAAAAAGATTGTAAAGAGTGTGTTATGGCAGATGGATGCTAAATCTAGTTATAGTCACACATAGATCTCATTGTTGCTATTTCATTTTGAATTTTAATTAAACTTTATAAAACTACAGTATTTTTTTATTTCCTTTGGGGCAGAAGGAGCTGACCATGAATTAACTACCAATAAAAATACACACAGAAAGGGAAAAGTAGGATCAAATGAGATATTTTGTGTGCAAATAATTTATAAAAGATTAAGAGCTATTCAAGTGTGAGTTCCTTGTGTTATTATTGTGCTTCATAGAGGATTTTCTCGTTTTTCCAAAATTGAGTGCAGATTTCACATAGTGAAGAATGGGTCAGGCTGCTCCATCAGTGGCTGTCATTGCAAATTTGAGTGGGTGGGCTGTTACTTAATCCCTTCAATTCACTGATCTGTACCCAATCTGTGCCGATTTCAAGATGACTGCTAACTGCAAAAACAGAGTGAAGAAATTTTGGAAAAAGAACTAAGTGTATGAGTTGAGATAATAGGTGTTATAGCTACTATAGACTAATATGATCATATCTTGATTATGATCTCAGAAATGACAGTGTTGCATTGAATTATGCCATGTATACATGGTGATCTGTGGTTTCTAGTTAAATCTGAAAATGAAATTGTTCAATCCAGCACCGACTTACGTATTTGTGAAGCTTTGATTTGTTTTGAAAAGAAAATTAACGCTCTTCGTGTAGATGTTTGTCAGGAGCAGCAGGCTTTATATTAGGTCTGCATTTTTCAAAGTGTGTCCCAGGGACCCCTGGAGTTCCCTGAAAATCTTTCAGAGGATCTGTGAGGCCAAAAATATTTTCATCATAATTCTAGGATATTATTTGTCTTTTTACTCTAATTCAACAAAGAGTTGGAAATGTAAAACAATATCTTCTCACACATTTTTTTCTGTTTTAGAAATATAGCTATTTTTCATATAGATGTTATTTTTGTTGACATATACCATATTTTTAAATTTTAAGTAAATTAACACTTAAAATTTTAATTTTGTAAGATGACATATTTTAATAGATATAACTCTCATAAACAAAAGCTGGATTTGGATTTGGCATTCAAATCCCCAATAAAATTTAAAACTTAAAAGGGACATCTGGAAACCAAAAGTTTGAACACTGCAGGATTAGATAAAGGAGCAAGAAACTCTATAAATATGTCTTTATTTGTACAACTTCATTTTACATTTTAAACTCCTAATATTGGATTTAATGCTGCCTCATAAAGATACCTGAATTACAGCATAAGAATGAATGCTGGTCTTTGAAGCAAAAGCCAAATGTTTTAACTGATTAATAGCTACAGACTTTTTAGATTATTGGTTAAACGTAACAGTACTCCTTAAAAATTGTTACTTCAGCCACACACCTCCTGGGAGCTTTTGCATGGTAACAAAAATAAAATACCACTTTCTTCAAGAAACACTATCTTAGGTTTGTTTTGTTTGGATATAGGTTTTATATTTTTAAAATCCCTTTTGCTACCCAATCTGGTTTTATAAACTGAGTTTCTTAACATTTATTATAATTATGGGGCTTACCTGAAAAAATCTATATTTTTATGCTTTTTGCCTTTCTTACCTGATTGATATTGCATTTACCTTTGATCATTTTTAATAAAGGTTTATTTTTGCATAATATATTTAGTACCTTTCTTAAGCAGTAACTTGAGTCAATCAGTTTGTATTTATCAGATTGTATTCAAAAGAAGGGGCTCAATGGTTTTTCAGTAGAATGATTTACAAACCTCTACATGAAGTGATTGGAAGCCTAGAACTGACACACTTTTGCTTTCCTGCTCTAAATGTCACAAAATAAATCTTATTTATTTAAAGTAAGTAAAATGACTTTTGCTTTTCTGCCTGATGAATACAAATTGAGATTTTTGTGCTTGTTTTATTGTTAATCATGACTTCTTGAAGACCGATCAGATCCAGTAATTGCTGAGATAGCTTTAACTTGGTTCTCCATAAATAGCATGTATTTTGTTATAATAGTTCACATTTTTAAATGCTTGGTTTACATTAAATTATGGAATTTAACTATTTTTATGTTTATACTAAATAGAGTTTTTCTTGTTTCTGTGTTTTTGGTATGCTAAATAAAGCTATTTTTAAACCCAACAGTTTTTTCTGGTATGTGTTAGTTGTATTATGGTTAGATGATAAATATGCTGCACAAGCTCATATTTCCTATGTTCTGTTTAATAAACTAAAATAATTTTTATTATGGATTTAGGGCATATCTCCCATTAAAGAAATCAGGAAATCATCCAGCATGGTGGCATATCCTTATAAATCCTAGCTCTGTAGAGCCTGAGCCAGTAGAGTCAATATTCAAGGCCAACCTGGACACATAACAAAACTCCTTTTCAAAAATGCAACAAACAAAAAACAAAGACAAAAAGACAGGAAACAAATCAGAACTCCCCTGATCAAAATCTCAGTTATCACCACAAAAACAAAGTAGAATTTCATGTACCACTTTTATTTTTATTTTTATTTTTTCCATTTATGTATTTGATACAGGGTTTCACTATGCAGCTCTGACTTGTAGTGATGCTCCTGTTTTCAGCCTCCCCAGCAATGGGATTACAGGTGAGCACCACCATGTCCAGACTCACTTGTTGACTCAGTGCACCCTGGAGGTAAGGCTGGCGCGGCATGCAGGACCAGGGTCGAACTCTGGTCCCTGGGCTTGCTGAAGTGAGTCTTTAGTCTGCTGAGCTATCCCACTGGCCCTGTACCACTTTTAAATAACTGGCAAAATAGGAAACATTTGCTCCAAATAAATAAACTGAGTTCCTCGCTGTAGTTGTAGTTTGTCAAGTCCCGAGGATGGTGTGATTTACTTTTCGTATTATAATTTTCTTTTATTTTGAAGAGTAAAAACAAAAGCAAGAAAAACTAAAGCAAAAACAGAAACAGGGTAATGTGTAATAATGCATAACGTTACAGATTTTCAAAACAAGAATAGCTGATTAACAGTGATTGATATGTTACCTATTTTGATCATCAAATCTGTTGCTCAGATTAACATATAGTTATGCAAGATGGGACATATGATTGAATCAAGAAATCTTAAATTTTGTTCTTGACTCATTTTCTTTTATTGCCTTTAAAAAAGAGTTTAAAGAGTATATAGTAATAATTGATATGACAGAAACAGTACACATTTAGAAGACCAAGATGACATGTTTTTTAAGCATGGTTTTAGTATTACAAGAATGGTGGTTTTTATAGGTATCAATTTTTTTTTATGCTTAGCAGGACAGTTTGCTTTTGAGATATGAGATAATAAGAAATGAAAGCATATAATAAAAGCATTTTGTTCACAGGGCATTATCCTACATGTAGCTATCTTACTAATAGCTGGTGCATGATGTCATTGACCAAGCAAATATAAATGGACCTATGGTGTAAAAAGTAAAGTTATATACACTATAGTCAAGAAGAAAATTTAAATATACACTGTAAGTCTGGGTATTCATTTCATAAGTGTAGGGGATGCATTGTAATTTACCTTTAAAAATAAGACAATTTGTAAAAATTATACAACTTCTGGCTTGATGAACACAGCTCATTTTTTGAAAGTTTATTCTCGGTTATAAGCTCATAAGAGATTTCAGAAATGTTCAAGCTTGATGTTTCTGAGCTGTTGTTCCATCACTTACCTCACTGACTCACCAATCTTGATTTTGCTGAGCCTTTCAAAATTCCTAACATTCTTCTCAGGTAAGAACTATGCTAATCCTTTTAACTCCTTTCCTCAAATACACCAAATAACTAAAAGCAATGACTTAATTTTATTTAAGATGTGAATTGACCAAAGCATGAGTAGCTTTCTGGCTGGTCTACTTCATGCTTGTCTTTTCAAGGTGATAGTTATTGTTATGGATATCTATATTGGTATAGGAGATTTAAGACAAGTTCCATGTGATCTATGAAACTACATCCATCCCTTACCCTTCTTACCTCATTCTGTTACCTATCATGACATTTTGTACTCAGTAATTTTATTTACTTAATCTAATTATATCTGTTTGTAGTTAGGCCAAAATGCTCTATAACTTGGACCCAGCATCTTATCTAACCTCATTTTCTTCTAAAGTTTCAGTGATGGATATTTCCAAAATTCTTACTTTGCATGACAACATTAGGGAATTAGAAAGTAATAGTGTTGATATCTGATGTTCTGGGGATTTTTCAATCAGACTAAAACTGAGATAACATTATTATCCAAAGAAGTTTATAACCCTAATTCCACTTTAGTACACAAAAGTTTCTTCCTCAAAGTTACATGGTATGTATAAGCAGTCATATTTATCACAATACTGTATATTAGTCCATTTAATGGTTTTTATACTTTTCAGCCATGGAAACTAAATTTGAAGCAGTTTCACAGAACCTTATTATGAAACAGGTGGCACTATTGTGTTTGACTACAGAGAAGTAAGGCTTAAACCTCATCATCCTTAACCATCTTTGTCAACCCTTCTTACTTCAACTCAGTTCAAGTCACTTCTGAAAGTCTTGGAATTTGATAAATGTATGTTAGAAACTACTGTAATATTTGCTGCTGATAGTCAGTTTTGTAGTTCTTCATCTTTCCACCATAAATAACATTATGGTTTCTTTTTGCTCGGGGTGGGGGGTGTCCATCCAACTGCCTGGACGCCCAAGGGGAGATGAAATGGAATGAAAAGAGACAAAAAACAATATTTTTTTTGTTCAAGAGAGAACTGGGAGTTCTCAAGTGGACTGACTCTGATATCTTGATGTTGCCCATATTTATTAGTACATAACAAGAAGCTCAGGGGTTAGTGCGCTTTTCTTAGAACAGCTTGTATAAATAAGATAATACAATAGAGATCAAGTTCAATGTTTTAGTGAACAAGATAAAGTCCTTCCCTGAGTGACTGCATTCTGCATATGGCTTTCTTCCTCATGAAGGTACTATCTTGTCTCCAGGCTGTGAACATCAGCTTTCCCAAAGTAGCCAGAGAGCCAGCAGCTGTGTTCAAACTCTCCTGTCCCTTGTGAGTTGCACTGGACCTAGAGCCATAGTCACACAGCCTGGACCCTAACATAGTAAACTATTATTTTATATCCCCTGGTCCTCAACCCTTTTCCACTTACAAATTGGGGGCCAAAAGCCTATATTTGGTTTAGTTGCTTAAAACTCACAAGTATAATTGACTTTTATACAAATTGGCTAGAGGTCCCAGAATTGTGTCCCTGTCATAAAGAAGGACCAAAACAAAGAAATAGGTTTTGTATACTAAGCTATTGGAGAAGAGTACTAGACTACAGTTCCCAAGAAATTAAAACTGGAAAATGGAGACACAGGATGGCCCTGTAAAGAGGTGAACAATATGCCTTGCATCAACACCCCCTTGTGCCAGTAAGATAGCTGGAAATTGGGAATAATCCTTCTCTAAGGGGAAATGATAAATATTAGTCCACAAGCACACCTCCCAATTGGGCACCATGAACACCTAAAATTCTTATTGCTGAAGAGTGCTACAATCAGTACTATTAGGCTCTAGGTTAGGGTGCTATAAGGGAGTATTCAATACTGCCCTCCTCCACAGAGGTAACACAGTCCACATTTTACTCTCCTCTGCCCAAGCTGCTACTGCATTAAGGCCACTTTCAGACCAGACTCTCTGAAAGATTACAGAAGCTGAGTCAAATTGCCTTTATTTGAATATGGCATTACCTCTGCATAGAAGACCCCCCCCAAATCCACCAAAAGACTTAGAAGAATTAACTGAGTAATGTAGCAGGATATAAAATCAGCACACAAAAATCAATAGTATTTCTGTATATGAATAATTAAATAATTTGAAAAAGAATGTTTCAAAGATAGCATTTACAGTAGCACCAGAAAACTTAAATGGTTAGGAATTAGCCTAACAAAGGAATTTGAAGACCTCTATAATGAAAACTACAGCACTCTGGCAAAGGAAATCTAAAATGATATCAGAAAATGAAAGGAGGGGATAACCTGCTCAGGCCCCCCTCCTGTCCCTTTCTTGGACAGGAACTTTCTTTTCCCTCTATAAATATATTCTCGGGGGCATGGAGATGGCTCAGTAGAATAAGTGCTTGCCTGGCGAGTGCAAGGGCCTGAGTTCAACCCCATAAATAAATAAATAAATAAATAAGAAAATGAAAAGATCCCATTCCTGAATACACAGAACCAATATAGTCAAAATGGCCATACCTACAAAATTGATATCAGATTTAATATAATCTCAATCAAAATTCCAACAGCATTCTCTAAAGAACAGGAAAAAACAGTCTTAAAATTCATATGGAACAAAAGACATGCAGAAATAGCAAAAACAGTCCTATGTAAAAGTGTAAAGCACAAAGCATCACAATCCTGTTTTTGAAGTTATATTACAAAGCTACTATGATTTTTTTAAAAAAGAAAACAATGGTACTAAGCACAAAAACAGAAATGAGGATCAATGGATGCAAAAAGCACCTCAGACATAATTAGTTATTTGATCTTTAAGAAATGGACCAAAAACATACACTAAGGGGAAAATAGTCTTTTAAATAATAGTGTTGGGAAAACTGGCTATCCACATGCAAAGGATCAAACATAGACCCATATCCTTCACTGTGTACTAAACTAAGATCAAAATAAATCAAATAACTAAATTTTAAAAGAGAATCA